TCTTCCTCTGCAATAAGGGACATAAGCTGTTCTGCCCATATCTCGGGACTCAAGCTACTCCCTTGGTCTCTGCCCCAGGCAAATGCAAATCTCCACTATGGGTATCTGCTTTGCCTGTTTAATGGGCAGGAAATGCCCTAGAAGATGTACCTTTTCCTAGGACATTGTCATAGCCTCTTCTTATGACCATTATTTTCCTCAGAGTGTTCAAAGACCCAGCAGGGTGTTTGTAAGCTATAACCCCAACAGGCCAGATGTAAACTGACTTTTCTTTGTTCAACTCACTCAACTTACTTTTTAATTTTTCTCTTTTTCCGGGGGTGCTTTTGTGAGGACCAGATCAGCTCCATTTTGTTGTTTCCACATAAGTTCTGTTCCTGGGCCCTGGCCTGCAGGGCCCACCCTGTAACCCTCCCCATTCCATTCCTAGTTGCTTAAACCATACCCCCAGGGCCCACCCTGCAACCTTTCTTATTCCTTTCATAGTTACTCAACCAAATAGTCACCTGTACCAATCCAAATTCACCTTTACTAGTGAAATCATCAGCTACCAATGCAAATCCTCCTTTACTTCCTCTTTTACTAATGAAATCACCAACCACCAATGAAAAGTGTACTCGTATCCGACCCTACCCCTCTTGCTTTCTGTAGCCCATAAAAACTGCCTTCACCCCGAGTTCGGGGCTCGTCCTCGGCTTGCATGCCAGGAGAGTCCAGGCCCGGGGCCCCCGGGCTTCCCGGGTCTGTAATAAATCTCATCTTATGCCCTTTACATTGGAGCGATTCTCGAGTTTGTCGGTTGGGGTTAATTTGGGAGGCTTTCTCGGACCCAACACTTTCCTTTGCCAAGAATGGGGTCTTTGGTCCCCATTCTCCTAGCACCAACAAATAATTAAACACATGAAAAGGCAGTGCCAATAATTAAAGCAGAGACAGAGGAGCCAACAAAGATGTACATCAAATTCTTTAAAACTCAGTTCTTTTTAATCCACATAATCACATCAACAACCTCCAGATTTTTCTTTCCTCCACCCTGTCTCCCATGAATACTTGTGAATATTATCCTAGGTATATTCTAAATGCTGTCACAATACTTGTCTTATCCACACCTCATGTTCTCTTCCTTACCTTTTATCAAGAGAGGCAGACAATGTGGTGCCTGTAGTTCCAAAAAAGAATAATCCTCTTCTTCCCTTTGCTTCCTCAGCACCTGATCTGAACTGTACTGTCCAATAGAATATTTTTTCTTTTAAATATTTTATTTTGTTATTTTTATAGTTTAAGAAGCTACAAGTACAGTTCTTTTTGAAAAATATCTTATTTTAAAAAATTTTTATAGATTAGGAAGTTACAAGTACAGTTTTGTTACATAGATATATTGTATAGTGGTGAAGCCTGCATTTTAAGTTAAGAAATAGATAGAATTTTCTGCAATAACAGAAATGTTCTATATCCGCCCTATACATTTTGAAAGCCACTAGCCATGCATGGCTATCAAGCACTAACAATGTGGCTATCAAGCACTTACAATGTGGCTCATGTAATCAAAAACTATATTTTTAATTTAATTTAAATTATTTCTAAAATTTAATCAGCCATATGTGACTATTCACTAACATATTGGACAGTGCAGCTGAAGACATTGAAAATATATTTGTTGGTTGGATGACATCTAGAGAAACTGATCTCTAACAACTTTCTCCAGTAGAGAATCACAGTCATAGCCACTCCCACCCCCACCCCAAGCAACAATAGAGGATGATGGCAGAAGTAGGTAAGGTAAGTTCTAGGTATCAAAGCTGGAAAAATAAACATTATGCATGTCACAATTTTGCCTAAAAACTGCTGTTGTATAGAACAAATAAATTGATTTATATACATGCAAAAAGACTTTAACCAATCATAGAATATATTCTTACATTGAGATTTCCTGAGGCAAATCATGCCAGCAGCAAGGCCAGCTTCATGGGCATGCAACCTATGCAATCACACAGAATCCCACATTTAGAAGGTCTCCTCACTTGGCTTAATGCTTCACTATTACCATCTTGAAATTCTTAAGTATTTTTTCACAAAGGGCCCACATTTTTATTTTGTAATGGGTACTGCAAATTATGTAGCTGGTCCTGCCAATAACATTTTGGTGGGCTCCCTATTAGAGACTAATAATGATCAAGGTTCCTTTCTGCTTATAGCAAAGGTGATTTGATCCACTTATGAATTCAACCACCCCATACATGGTGATGACTCCCAAATCTACACTTCTCTAATCCAGGCTATTCTGCCAAGGCCCAGCCGGCATCTATGCAATGACCTACTAGGGGATTGTATGGTGTAACTCAGAGGTATCTCTGACTCCACATGGACAATCTAAATGTATGAAACTCCTTTTTTTCCTCTTACTGCTCCTTGCTCAGTGAATGGTGCCATAGTCCAGGTAATATGTACAATGAGAACAACAATAACTGTCAAAGTAGTGAGAATAGTAGCTAAAATTTATTGGGCTTCTTTTATTTCAAGCATTTTATGCACATTACCATGTTTGAACCTCATAATAACACTATGAGTTATCATTATGGCTACTATTATCATTTTTACAGCTAAGGAGAGAGACGCACAGAAAGATCACACAGATAGAAAGTGACAGAGCTGTGACTTGAGTAAGTACAGGTCTTTCTGGAGACTTGTGTGACTCAGGAATTGAACTCTTGGGAGGATATATAAGAGAAATGAAAACATACAGCAGGCCCAGGTGCAGTAACCCACACCTGTAAGCCTAGCACTCTGGGAAGCCAAGTTGGGTAGATTGTTTGAGCACAGGAGTTCAAGACCAGCCTGAGCAAGCTTGAGACCCTGTCTTTAAACTAAGTGCTCTAAAAGTAGCTGGGCATTGTGGCAGATGCATGTAGTCCCAGCGATATGGGAGGCTGAGGCAAGAGAATCACTTAAACGCAAGAGTTTGAGATCAACCCCAAGGCAACTGAGTCAGACTTTGTCAAAACAAACAAACAAACAAACACAATGCTAAAGCTTGTTCAAGAATGTCCATAGTGGCTCGGCGCCTATAGCTCAACCGGCTAAGGCGCCAGCCATGTACCCCTAAGGTGGCGGGTTCGAATCCCCAGCCCGGACCCGCCAAAACAATGACGGCTGCAACCAAAAAATAGCCAGGCGTTGTGGCGGGCGCCTGTGGTCCCAGCTACTTGGGAGGCGGAGGCAGGAGACTCGCTTGAGCCCAGGAGTTGGAGGTTGCTGTGAGCTGTAATGCCATGGCACTCTACCCAGGGGGACAGCTTGAGGCTCTGTCTCAAAAAAAAAAAAAAGAATGTCCATAGTATCATTATTCATAATAGTTGAAAAATTAAAACATCTTAAATGTCCAATAACTGATGAATGGATAACAATACATGTAATGGAATATTATTTGACAATAAAAAGGAAAGAAGTATTGAAACATGCTATAACATTAATGAACCTTAAAAATATTATGCTAAGTGAAAGGAGCCAGTCATAAAGATCATATATTGTTTATATATTGATTTTATATTGAAAACCTAAAATTTTTTACCCTCATATTAATTTGAAATAAAAATTTAAATACACACACAAATATCGTATATCATGTTTCTGTTTATATAAGAAATCCAGAATAGGGAAGTGCCCGTGGTTGAGTGAGTAGGGCACTGGCCCCATATACTGAGGGTTGCAGATTCAAACCCAGCCCCGGCCAAACTGCAACAAAAAAATAGCTGGGCATTGTGGCGGCACTTGTAGTCCCAGCTGCTTGGGAGGCTGAGGCAAGAGAATTGCCTAAGCCCAAGAGCTGGAGGTTGCTGTGAGCTGTGATGCCACAGCCCTCTATGGAGGGTGACAAAGTGAAACTCTGTCTCTAAAAAAAAAAAAAAAAAAAGTCCACAGTAAATAATTCTATAGAAATAGAAAGTGTATTAGTGGTTACCTGTGATGGAGGGAGGGAGGAAGGTGTGGAATGGATTGGGGAGAAACAGAGTGACTGATGATGGGGATGGGGTTTCTTTTTACATGATGGAAGTGCTCTAAAAGATAGTGGTAATGGTTATTCAACTCTGTATCATAAGAAATTTTTAAAATTTATAACATTTATAAAAATACTTTGAAATGGGTGAATTTTATCTCGGTAAAGATGTTTAAAAGTGAGGAGTCATTCAATGGGTATAAAGTTACAGTTATACATGATGATTAAGTTTTAGATGACCACTGTGCAGCATAGTGCCTGTAGTTAACAACACAGTGTTGGACACCAAAATATTTGTTAAGAGGACAGATCTCATATTAAATGTTCTTATCTTTCTCTCTCTCTCTCATACACATACATGTACATGCACACTCAAAGAAATGTAGGGAAACTTAGAGTTGATGGATATGTTTACTACTTTGATTATGGCAACGATATCATGGGTTATGCATATATCCAAACTCATCAAGTTGTATATGTTAAATATGTGCACTTTCTTATATATTGTACCTCAATAAAGCTGTAAAAATAAAATGGTAAACTATTGCCTAGCATATGGTAAGCATTTAATAATTGTAGGATAGGACTTTAAAAAATGTCAAATATAATTCTCTGGATGGTTTGCCACCTGTCTCCAGGACTAAAGTAGAAGGTGTGTCCAAAGTGACCAAGGCTCTGAGAACTTGAGGAAAGGCACTAGCAATGGTAGAAAAAGAATGTGGAGATGGAAGAGAAATGGGAATTCCTTTGGGAGTGTATTGAGTGTTCAAGTGGAAATATCTACTGAAAAGCCAATAAAAAATAAATGGTTTTATCCACATAGCCAAAGAATTTTGTATAAACAAATATAAAAGCTCCTTGTTATGATGCTAAGCCACTGAGAGTTTCCCTTTTCAATGAGTGTAAGGTGTCAGTTGGTTGATTAACATTGGATGTAGTGAAGAGGAAGATTGGATAGCAGTGTTGAAATAATAACAAACATGATTATAAAATTGGTCTCTTGTAGGTGTCTTCAGAAGACATATTCTTCACAACTGCCTTCCCTTAGTGTCATTCTCATATTCGTGAATGAAGCTCTGTCCGTTATAGAACGGGCCATCACCAGTATCATCAACCGGACCCCCTCTCCATTGTTGAAGGAGATCATCTTGGTGGATGATTTCAGCTCAAATGGTGAGCAACTTGATCTAAGAATTACCTTAAAAATTACTACTTCTCATCTGTGCTTTGCTGGAAAGAGGTTTTAGCTTAGAGTTTAACCACCTTGGGTTTCTCATGTAGGGAAAAAAGGAAGATCACTTGTCGAGGGTCAGTTTGTGCTGGCCACATTTAATGTTTGCATCTTCATTACAAAGACAAGGAAACTAAGACACAGGTCGCATTGCATGGCAAGTCAGCGGTGGGGCTGGGAGTTAGGCTCAGGACCAGGTGACTCCAAAATCACCTGTGCCCTTCCTGTGCCCCAAGGCGCCCTGATGGGGTGAAGTGGGTCCTGAGGAGGGCCTCCGATACCAGGAAGGGATTTACAGTTGTTCCTTATGAGGAAATGACAAGTCTGCTTGGGCCATTAAACCTGGAGAAAAGAGAGCTTTGGGTGCTGAGACTCTTCATAGTGGCAACGGTTCTTGCTCACAAGATACCCTAGGCTCCACTCTCACCCACCCCAGGAGGACGCATGGGGAAATGGGACATAGCAGACATTAAGTCCTTGCTTTCTGAGTTCGTAGTCACAGCTTCTCCCTTGTAAGTGCTATGTCCTTGGTTAACTTCTCCATGCTCTGGTTTCCTTATATGCAAAACATGGAAGTTGATAGTAATAACTATCTCATGAGCCATAGTGAGAATCAAATGAAATAATAAAAGCAATAAACATTGTTCTAAGCACCTTATGTTGGTCAAGGAACTCACTCAACATCACAAAGCTGGTAAGTGAGAGAATTGAGTTTTGACTGTAAACTTCAGAGTCCAGAACTGTGGCTCAAACCACTATGTTCATGGATAGAATGCATAAATTATATATAGTATTTAGCAGGTGGTAGCCTCTCAGAAAGTGTTAGCGCTTAGTTTTATTAATTTTGTTCATCAAATAAGTGGAACTAGGATTAAGTTATAAAATCTTAGAAGTTTGGGCTAGCAATAAGGAAGACTTTTCTAATTGTGAGCGCTGTGAGGTGGTGGCTCAGTAGAAGCAGATTTAGTTCTTTACGTGGGGATATTTAAGTGCTAGACAGGCTTTCACAGCTCAAGTTGTTTCTGAGGAGAGAGAGAGGGACAGAAAAATGATCACTTAAAACTTCCTTTTTGGATTTTCAGATACTAAAAATACTTGTCTTGATCTTTTGCATACCTTCCCCTTCCAATGTAACTATAGAAAAAAATAAGGTATAATTATTAAAGCAAAATTCCCTTCTAATTTCATTTGCTTCTGGACACAGACATTGATACTAAACCGCACACCTGGTTTTGTGAGCAAAACATAGGTGTTTGCTTAGAATGACCTGTCTGTCCTAGGCATCTGAAAATCCCCTGGTTCCGCTCCCAGGTTCTCTGAGATACCTCAGGCAAATCCTCCTGCCTTTTTGGAACTTAGCTTCTTCCTGGAGCAAATGCAAGGGTGAGCTGGAAGACCACTAAAGATATCTTTTTCTATGAAAAAAATAAATTGGCCTATCGCTCTACGTTTCATCGGGTATAGATTAGACTGAATTCAAGACTTTTTCCTCTGCAACAATAAAATCAAAGATACAAGATTAAAAACAGAGTAGACAGACACATAAAGAGAAGCCAGACAAAGCTCTCTATTGTTCTAAACTGCATGCCTATTATTACATAACACATTCCTCTCACTTGGGTCTGGAACCCATTTTTGTTTTCCATAGAGATGATATGTTTGGATGGGGCACAAGAAGGAACAGTTAGCCTTTCTTTGGTGCTACAGGGACTGGAAATGGCAGAGAAAATAAGACTCGGAAACTGAGGTGGGGCAGTGGATCAGGAGTGGGGAAAAGAATGGCATGGGCAAAGATGTAGAAGCCAGCGGCATCCTGAGCTGACTAGCCTACAGTAAACGGTTTGGGGAGAAGCCCACTAGGAGGGCCATGCAGGAGCATAGGTCTACTGTAGAAGATTCATTGAAATATCTTTAATTCTTGTATGGGACTAGAGGCATTATTTCTAAGGGGGGACTCGGAATCTATGGCTCAGAGAATTTTGGAATTGGAAAGGTCCTGACAGATTATCTGGTACTTCTCTCTGAGTTGAAGAAACAGACAACCCTCAAATGGGAAGTGATGCAGAATTAGGTAGTAACTGTGTTAAAGACTAGATATCCAGGTTTTATGGCAATTCGTGTTGATACTTTTTAAAAGTAGTATCCAGGTGGATGCAGGGACTGCTCACCTTGGCTACCCCCAGCTCACTCCCAGTAGGAGCGAACAGCCTTAAACCCACTGGCTTAGGACATTAATAATTGAGTCACTCATTCTCAATTGACAGGAGAATTAAAGGTATACTTGGAGCCTGTTATTCTAAGATGGGGGAAATTGTAGTGCCATAGCATGATTGCTTTCAGGTCCTGACCACTCTAGGTCTCACAAACATACTCTTCTTTTGAGAGAGCAATCAGCAAGAATCTCATCTTTTGGCCATGGGGAGAAAGGAGGTGGAGGGAGGGCTTGATAAACCCAACCAGGTGTGCCCACTGTCCTTGAGGCAGGGTAACATGGTGCTTAAAGACAGCATGAGTTCATACCCAGGACTGCTTATTACTGGACATGACTTGGAAAAGTTTCTTAACCTTTCTGTGCCTCAGTTTATTCATCAGTAAAGTGGGTATATTATACTGCCTGACTCATAGGATTCTTTTAGAATTAAATGAATTAATATTGTCAGTGAATAACTCAGAGTTATTTGGTTAGATATTTGAATCGGAGTAGCTTTTGTACATGTGACTCAAAAGACAAAAACACAGACAGGCTTGATTAGAAGAAAGGGGGAAGAGGCTCGGCACCTGTAGCACAGTGGTTATGGTGCCAGCCACATACACAGAAGGTGGCAGGTTTGAACCCAGCCCTGGCCAGCTAAACAACTGCAACAAAAAAATAGCCAGGCCTCCTGGCAGGCGCCTGTAGTCCCAGCTACTTGGGAGGCTGAGGCAAGAGAATCACTTAAGCCTTAGAGTTTGAGATTGCTGTGAGCTTTGACAACACAGGACTCTACTGAGGGTGACATAGTGAGATTCTGTCTCAAAAAGAAAAAAAAAATGGAGAAAGGGAGAAGAGAGAAGAAAGATCCCTGTAAACAATATGGTAATAGTGAATCTAGTTTGCATAATTTGGGGAGTAAACTCATTAGCAAGAAGCTGGCAAAGAGATTTAGTCTGTAAATTCTGTCTCAGTTGATCCTTGAGTAGGCCTACTCGGAATAGCGGAAGCAAGACAATTTTAGTTGTTTATGAATTCTCCAGAAAGTCTTGAGAATTGAGCTGTGAAGAAGATGTTCCAGGCTTCCCTGTAGTGTTGTCCGGGTCTGTTCTCAGTCTGTTAGGAATTTCTCAATATGTTAAAAACAGTTATAATTGTGCCTGTTACAACAGTGAGCAGTGTTATCATTCTGAGATAGTTTAACTGCGAGAGAAAGGAAATTAGGGATGATAAAGTTAAACCTCAGTGGAAGGGAGAAGAGAGGTATATGAGAGGAAGAAGCTTCTTTTCTCATCCTGTGCTGGAGTGGTATGAAACTTCTGCACCACGTTGGTTATTGCACTCAGAATTTCTGTAGGTGTGCATTTGGTTGACAGGAGAACTAAAGGTATACTTGGATGAGAAGATTAAGGTTTACAACCAGAAGTATCCAGGACTACTGAAAATAATACGGCATACTGAGAGGAAAGGCCTTGCTCAAGCCCGCAACACTGGCTGGGAAGCTGCCACAGCTGATGTGGTCGCCATATTGGATGCTCATATTGAAGTGACCATTGGCTGGTAAGACCCCAGGAGGCTGCTACTTCTGAAAAAGGGCAAAAGAGAGATATTGTACATGTACTGAATTCAAGAGAGAAGGTGTTAGGGACATGGGAATGTCATGACTGGACCTTAAACAAAGGGAAACTCCAAAGAGAGCATACTTTTGCTCGGGAATTTGCGTTGGCTAAGAGAAGTAGTGTAGTGCTAGAGGAAAAACCAATGGGCTGGGGGTATTTGCCAAACACTTTGTGACTCTAGATGAGTCACTTCACTTAACTAGACATTTGTGTCTGTAGCTGTAAAAAGAAGAAACGACTCTTTGGTAATTTCTAAGACTTTTCCCAGCCCTTAAGTTTATATGATATAAACAGAGCTGTGTTCTTCAGAGGACGTGGAAAATCACACAGGAAACACCATTGTGGAAATAGAGATCATGTAAATTCAGGCAGAGTATTGATAGTCCTCATTCACAATGGCCTGAGGGGAGGTACTTGGGTCAAATCTGCTCTTGACATGAGTCTGTGGCTAGCAATCCCAGCTATTCCAAAAGGCATAGTGATTCTCTGGATTCTGGAGAGTGCTAATTACAACATGGCACAGTCCAAACGGAGAATTGCCACTGTCAGGGCAAGGTGCTTGGAGCAGACTTTCTGCTTCCCTTGTATTCAGCTGGGCTTGCTGTGCCCTCTTCCTCTAGGGCAGAGCCCATCTTGGCTCGGATTCAGGAAGACCGCACTGTGATTGTGTCACCCGTGTTTGAAAAGATTCATTTTGACACCTTTAAGCTAGAAAGGTATGGAGTAGCAGTTGATGGATTTAACTGGCAACTGTGGTGCCGCTATGACACAGTTCCACAAGACTGGATTGACCTGCATGATGTCACTGCTCCTATAAAGTAAGTCTGAATGGGCTCAGGGATTGTGAGCAACATGTGGGAATGAATGAACTGCATGGGTTTTGTTTATCTTTGGGCGGAGTAATGGGGGTGGGATGAGAGGAGTGGAGGGGATGAGGTGAAGGAAAGGGGTAGGCCAGGCATGGGGGCTCGTGCCTGTAATCCCAGCACTCTGAGAGGCTGAGGTGGGGGGATTGTTTGAGCTTCAGGAGTTTGACACCAGCCTGAGCAAAAGCAAGACCTCGTCTCTACTAAAAATAGAAAAATTTGTTGGGACTGGTGACACACACCTGTAGTCACAACTACTCAGGAGGCTGAGGCAAGAGGATTGCTTAAGCCCAAGAATTTGAAGTTGCTGGGAGGCATGACGCCACTACATTCTACCCAGGGTGACAGAGTAAGACTCTGTTTCAAACAAAAAAAGGGGTGGGGGGTATGGGGGACAAACCTAATGAACTGATCCCAGATAAGAAATTATAGACACTTTGTAGGGGCATTCAGACAAAAATAAAGCAAAGCATTTAACATGTTAAAAAATTGGGGGGTTATTTCAAGCATTATCAGGAGCCTATAAAGAGGGATACCTAGGTAAAGGAGATATACTTGGAGAAGGGTTGTATTAGCACAGGGAATGAGGGAAAGCTAGGAGCACTTAGACCAGTCAGAGGGTTTAGGGAAGGCTTTCAGGATAAGAAGAGACTTAGGTAGAGTTTTGAAGGGCAAATCAACACTGGGCTTCCCATCCCCCACCTCTATCCTGACCCATGCCTCAAAGGGAAGTCAGTAACTCTTGCCGTGTGCTCTCCAGGAGTCCTTCCATAATGGGCATCCTGGCTGCCAACAGGCTCTTCCTGGGAGAGATTGGGTCTCTGGATGGCGGGATGCTGGTCTACGGAGGAGAGAACGTGGAGCTTAGTCTACGGGTAGGTACATGGCCATTCTTTTTGTGGGGCAAAGCAAAGGAGAAATAATGGGAAGGAAGTAGGATCTCTGCAATCCTAGGACATAGCTGAATGTCATTAGTTTAAGAGGTGGACAAATTCTCACATTTGAGAATGTCAATAGTTCAAGAGGTGGACAAATTCTCATGTTTCCAGGTCACTGGATTAAGGAGGGGTAGGCAATAGGATGTCTTGTGTGAAGCTTTCTCATGTAGGCCTATAAATCTGGGAGGGGTGGGTAGGAAGGTGTTGCATTCAGACTAAGCAGATATCCCCATTTTGCTTAAGGACTCTGAGCATTTTCCAAGCATTTCCTGGAATAAATGAACTTTGGGGCTCTCTATGAAACTATAGACATAGAAACTGGAGTGGGCAGAGGGACCAGGGAATGCAGATGTGTGGGCAGCCCATCTACTTTAGTATGGACAGCTAGGGCTGGGGACGTGATGGCCTGAACCTTTGCTGAGATACGGTCTACTCTAAGATAAATAGCCAGAAGTGGGGAGCACCTCACCGAAATCTTCATACCAGGTCTAGTTCTGATCAACTTCTGTGTATGCTCAGAACAATACTGACTTCCCACTTCAGCAATGATCCCTATTGTCTGCCCCCGACAGCTTCCTATGCTTGTTTAGATCAAATGAACAACTTGAATTTTTGGCCTCTATAAAGGAATTCATATGTAAACCAAGACAACTAGAGAAATTCCAAGTGCAGGTTCATGTTACATTCGTGTGTCAGTTAGCTATTGACCAAAAAAAAAAAAAAAAACAAAAACAAAAAAACAAAATGCTGTATAACAAACCATCTCAAACTCAGTGGCTAAAAGCAATAATAATAGATACTCACAGATTTGCAGGGCCAGCTGGGCTTGGATAAGGTAGCTCTTCCTGATGGGACAGCAGCTATCTAGGTAAAGAAAGCTCTTCCTGTGGTGTACTAGAGGACAAGCAGGACAACATGAGGTCCTTTAAGGCCTAACTTTGGAAGTAGCATGCTGTTTCACAATAAGTCACATGGCCAACCCCGAAGTTGTGTGAAGACACAGGGCCAATAAATTCAATGCATCAGACATCAGAACCAATTTAGAATGGGTTTCATGCATAAGGCGTTCCTTTCACAGTATTCCTTTTACTTCTTTAGTATAACTATGGGGCCTTGTTAGAAGGAGTTGACCTTTAGATTTGTGATTGTTTATGTTAGTTTATCTTCTAGCCTAGGGCTGAACTCTTAAAAGAGGCAACATAAGGTAGTGGAAATTATACAGAAATTAGAGACAGACTTACATCCAGATCCTGCTTTGCCACTCAAAAATTTGTGTGATCCTAGTTGTGCAACATACAAGCTCTTGAAGCCGTACCTACGACATAAAGCACCTAACACAGCGAGTGACACATGGCTTACACTCAGTGCATGGTTAGTGGTAAAAATTCACAGCAAGAATGTCAGACGGCATTGTAAAAAGTGCTTGATCTGAGTTCTAATTCTGGCTTCAGGAACTGAGCTTTTATAAAATGGATTTTTCCCCTTCAAGCTCCGAAATTCTGTGCCTAACACAAGGTGAACTTTGGTCCATTGCAATGTCTAGACTAATTTAATTTCCTATCTAGGGTTTATTCAGTTCCACTCTCTCCAATTTCTTTCTTAATGAAACTGTCTTCAGATACATATACAGCCATATATTGTACCCAATTAGGACACACTCGAGACCCCATGTCAACAAATGAACTTCAGTTCTTGTCTAAGTTATTTACTAAGCATGATCATTGAGTCTTGATCAGTTTTCCTGTTTGTGAATGAAAAGAAGCATTCTTGTGTAATGTACTGCATAACGGTGATGTGACAGTCAAAATCTATTCATGAATTTGAAATGATTTTATAAAGCTACTAATTAGAATGCTTGTTCACTTTCTGTGACAGAGGCTAAAATAGAAATTAATTTTTTTTCCTTGTAACAGTTTGAACACAAGCAGTTCGGGACTAATGTGGCAATATCATGGGAGGGACCAAGGCTTTCATCTTGTGGTTCTGTTACACACTGACATTACATCTGTATTTTAGCCAGTAGGAAGGAAAAAGAACATGCTTTTTTTGTTTTAAAGGGCATCACCTGAAAGTCATGCATATAGTTTCATCTCACATTCCAGTGGCCACTAGCTAGGATGTGGCCATACCTGTGTGCAAAGGAGTCTGGGAAATGTACTTTAGCTAGTTGGGTATGTGCCCTGTTATTCCTTCTATAAGTGTAGAGGAAAATAGATATGGAGGGTACAATTAGTCTCCAGCAGAAAAATATAAATGCAAAAGTCATCATTTTATGCTGGTACTTAGCAAAGTCCAGAAGATGGCCTTATGTTATGTTGTGGGTGGGTGTTCTTTATCTATTGGATCTTTGGATGAATTTGGCTGAAGCCCTAATTCTTCCTCTTAGGACTCAAAGCCTTCATTATTTCTCAGTTCCTTATGCTTTGCTACCCCCTTTTGCATCTGGATGACTCTCTCTGTTTTTATTTTTTCAAACACACATAGAATAGTGCTATTTCAGTTTCTGTAAGAAATCCCATTTCTTTTAACATTGTGTGTGGCTTTTAAATGGACCTTGCTTAAAATACGAGACATTTCTTTTCCTTTTCTTGAATTAAATAATTCTTCTTACATCTGGGTTCTTTGGTTTGTGTGTGACTATCTGCTTTTTAAAACTTCTAAGCACTCGTTAGCATCTGTCTTTCTGTAGTAACAGATCTTGGAGAACGTCAGAGCAGCACGGAGTGCCTTATTCTGACATCTAGTGGCCACAGTGGGGATAGTTCACAGATGTGTGTACATGGAGCTGCCGGGTAGGAAAGGAAAACCAATGCTTTATAAATATTCCTGATACTTTGCCAAAGCTTAATGAGTGGTCTGCCTGGGTTGAGAATCCAGACCTGTCATTTACTAGTTGATGTACATGGGCAAGTTACTTAAGGGGATCACAATAATATACTTGCCTGGTGAGGGTTAAATTCATAGAAAGTTTTAGGAGACAGTATAAGACAAAGTTATCCATAATTATTTCCAGAAGCTTCACGTCTCTGTGTGTATATCAAAGAGAGGGAGAATGGGAGAGAGAGAAGATGAAGAGAGAGAGAATAGAAGGAGTTTGGCAAGGTGGAAATAAATTGGAAAAGTAGAGTTTGAAAACTGCTGGGCAAGTGTGGTGAAACTGTTGCCCTGGTAGATGGCAATGCTGACTTTTAGCTTAAATTTGAGGTTTCTTGTGCCAACAATTAATTGTTCTCTCCCAAACTCCTATGGGTTGAAAATTTACATCAACTAGGAAAATTAAAGTAAAGTTGTATTTGGATTTTTGGATATTTGACTGGAGAGAATAATAATATCTGAAAATAAACTGGATGTAAACTTCGACTTGATTCTGGGGATCAAGGAGGATAGACAGAGATGGATAATGGAAGAAAAGATGCACTTCAAGTTAAGCTTGGAGGCCACCCTAACTGAGTATTTGTTAAGCCTGCTGACAACCCAAATGGGGGCGTGCCTTTTAGCAGATGAGTAAATTGCCACTCCGAGAGGGTGAATGGGTGTTTTGCCTTTGGCTTCTGGGTGTGTAGGGATGGAGTCAGGATTTAAACCCAGCTCATCTGACTTCAAGGCCTGTCTTTTTTTTTTTTTTTTTTTTTTTTCTTCATCCTACTACTCTAGGCTGTGGGGTACTGAGAAAGGAAAATCCAGAAATCTGTACTTTAATAAGTAGGGGCAGAGGTGAAGAGATTTGAAAGTCTGACAATGAGGGTGACTTTTCAGGTGGACCCTTTTTTGATATGTTAACTGAAGCAGCAGGGTCTGAATTACTCACCGGCATCTCAGAGGCTCCCATTGGTGTGAGTGTGGTAGGTTGCTAACCACTGTTAGGTGGGCTAATAACTCCTAGAAACTGCAGCTCTCACAAGTAGCCATGAGGAGAGGACACAGGAGACATAGTATCGATCCAATCTTATCACATAATTCTATTATCTATTGGGATGAAGACTGATTTCCTGAGCTGAGTGTTAGTTCTGACAAGTACATTTGTACTCATCAGGATGGTAAAGAAGAATATTTGTAATTGGATCATAAGTCATGGTATCTCTTGGTCAACAAAGACTTAAATTTGTCATCTATTATTGTGCACCATTATTATATAAACTTAGTGTCTTAACAGGATGCACTCAATTATCATACAGTCTCTGTGGGTCAGAAGTCCATACACAGCCCAGCTGGGTCCTCTGCAAGGCTGCAATCAAGGTGTCAGCCAGGGTTGGTTTCTTGTCTAGGCCTGACTAGGGATGGAGTTGCTGTCAAGCAGATGTGATTATTGGCAGTACTTGGTTCCTTGAAGTGGTCCAGACTGAGGAAGCGTTCGGTTTTTTACTGGCTATCCGTTGGAAGCCAATCTTAGTTTCTTGCCAGGAAGCCTTCTCCTTATGCTAGTGCACAATCTGGCAGCTTGCTTTTTCAAAACCAAAAGGAGAGAGCATCTCCTACCAGGCTGGACACTACAGTTTTATGTAAGGTAATCACATACATGTACAGATCAAGTACATGCTGCCCCCTCTGCCATAGTCCATTGGTTAGAAGCAGTCACAGGCCCATACTGAAGGGGAGGGGATTACGCAAGGCGTGGCCACCAGGAGGAGGGCTTATGAGGCCATCTTATGGTCTATCTGTGCTGCTGCCCCTTTGTCTGGCATGGAGGCAGAGAAAGGTCCTGGGAATCGAAATTCAGACAGAGTGGCTCAGGGAATGGAGTCTCCTAGGACATGGGCACTGCCCTTACGGGTAGGGTGCAGAGGTGGCCTCTTCTTCTGTCTTTAGGAGGACTTCTGAAGGAGGTAGGATTTTGGGAGCTGTTTGAATGACAGGAGAGAAACAGTCTGGTAGAGTTCTAAGGAAGAATTATTTAAATATTGTAAGTAGGTTGGGAGATAGTACTACACATAAAAGCAGAAGTGGGAGGACTGAACTTAACATTCGTTAAAAAGGGCTCCAAAATGCAATCTTTCTGTGTCTATAGCTACACCACTCGTTGACGGTGGGGCCCAGCCTGTGCAGATGATGTTTTCTTTTCTCTTACAGGTGTGGCAGTGTGGAGGGAAGATTGAAATCTTACCCTGCTCTCGGATAGCTCACCTAGAGAGACATCACAAGCCCTACGCCTTGGATCTGACCCCTGCCTTGAAGCGTAATGCTCTTCGAGTGGCTGAAGTCTGGATGGATGAGTACAAACACATGGTCTACTTGGCCTGGAACATACCTCTCCAGGTTTGTCCTGGAATCAGATAGAAGCAGGGAAGAGTGGAAGAGGAGGAGGTGCTGGTTATGGGGCGGGGGGCAGGGGAGGGGAAAGAGAAGGGGGAAAGCAAAAGTGCCATCCCAGCCCTAAAGAATTAGATTCTGGCTGGGCACAGTGGCTCATGCCTGTAATCCTAGCACTCTGGGAGGCCGAGTTGGATGCATTGCTCATTGCTTGAACTCAGGAGTTCGAGACCATTCTGAGCAAGAAGGAGACTTCCGTCTTTAAAAAAAAAAAAGAATTAAACTCTCAGTTATGTCCAACCTTTTTCCTTTTCTGCTGCACATTGGAAGAATAAGAGTTGTCTTGAGCCACACAGTAAACACACAAACAATAAGGAAAGCTGATTAGGCTCTGTGCCTGTAGCTCTGCGGCTAGGGTGCCAGCCACATATACTGGAGCTGCACGGCTTGAACCCAGCCTGGGCCTGCCAAACAACAATGACAACTACAAGCAAAAAAAACAGTCAGGCGTTGTGGCGGGTACCTGTAGTCCCAGCTACTTGGTAGGCTGAGGCAGAGGAATCGCCTAAGCCCAAGAGTTTGGGGTTGCTGTGAGCTGTGATGCCATAGCACTCTACCGAGGGTGACATAGTAAGACTCTATCTCAAAAAGAAAAAAAAAAAGGAAAGCTGATTAGCATATTTTTCATGATATCTGACACCACAGATAAACAAAAAAAGTCTTCACAAAATCAGCATGTGGCCCATGGGGCCACAGGTTGGACACCCCCAAATTGGATTAAGGTCCCAATGACGTGATAACACTTATGTAACAGTATAGTACTGTGTTCCAGGCACTGTTTTTTATGTTAACTCATTAACCATTACAACATACCTAGGAGGTAGGTTTTATTTTTGTTATTCTAAGTTTTACAGATGAGGACATGAAGGCACAGAGACTTGGAAGGAACTTAAGATAATACAGGGGGTAAGATTCCAACCAAGGAGATCTGTTCTTCATCCTTCTTCCATAAAGGGGGATCTCTTGCAGGGTAGTGTCGGACCTCAGGAAGTCATTGTCTTAGTAGGATACAAACATGGCAGGTGGAATGTGGGCTGCTGGGAGGAGGCACTGTAAAATCAGTGGATGCACAAAAGCGAGGGTGGCATTCTTGGCTCAGCCCACATCTTCTGCTCCGGACACCTGAGCTTCTCATGCTGTGCTGTCTTCCATTCCTGAGTTCTGGCTCTGAGCATATTGGGCCATATTGGCCCACAGGGGCATTTATCTCATTGGCAAACTATTTCCTTCCATCACAGGGGTTTCTAAAATAGCCCCAGGAAGTCAGGATGGTGGGCAAATGAGGAATGGATCTAGGAAGGAAAGTGTGAACCTAAGATAGGGTCAGGAGCTGGGTTAATGGTGGGAGCACTAGGTCTGAAGAAGATAAAAATGTGCAGAAACGCCTGAGCCTTCTCTACGGTTCAAAGTCACCAAAAGCTTTCCTTTAACAATCCAAGGTGCCACTAATCTCCTACAGTTAGCTCGTTGTTTAAGAAGATGGATAATAATTT